GTGTGTGTGTGTGTGTGTGTGTGTGTGTACACATATTTTACAAATTAAATAGAGTAAACAATAAATAAAATATAAAAAAATATACAGAGTTATATAACTGTGATGGAGAGTTATATGATGCAACTAATACCACAGTATTAGTTGCTCTTTACCGTCCACCTAAACAAAACTTTCTCACTGAAATCCTACTCTTATCTCCACCATATCTCCACTCCATACTACTGTTGTGCGATTTTAACATCCACATGGACAGAATATCAAATTCATCCACAAGAGATTTTATATCCCTGTGGACAATTGTGGCTTACACCAATATATGGATGTTTCCTACACACTCCAAAGGACATATTTTGGATCTTGTTTGCTGTGCTGGTGTCACCCCAAAGAACTATGGCGTATTGGACATGTGTAACGCTTCCACCTGGAAGAAAGTTACAAGCTGGCCATCGAAAACTCTGAAAAGGTGATGAAACAAAACAAAACCAGATGTGATAAGAATGTCACTGCTTCACAGCTGAATGTTGGAGACAGAGTTCTGGTGAGGAATGTGCGGGTAAAAGGGAAACACAAACTTGCAGATAAATGGGAAACATCTGTGTACATTGTAGTAAAGAAAGCCGTCAATCTTCCTGCGTATACAGTCAGACCTGAAGGCCCAAACAAGCCCCTGAGAACCTCCGAGACCTCCTACTGCCATGTGGGTATTTACCACCTTCTGAAAAGGAAATGCTTACTCAGCAAAAGAGGAAACCGCCTGTGTTACCTGTGTCTCCTGTACATGATGATGATGATGAAGAAGAGAAGAACTCACTCGCCTTCACAACAAACAATGACAATCAATAAGCCATTAACAAAACAAATCATAACATCTCATTATTATAATGAATTTCATTCAAAATAATATTATAGAAAAACATTCACATGGGTCCCATCAAAGTAAAGTAAATTAGTAATAAAGCTATTAAACATTTTTCAAGGTCAATCAAATATCTAAAAAACAGATTTAACTGTAGGTGTTGTGAGGCTGGGAAAGAATGTCTCGGACTCCCGGACCATCAGCACTGGCTCCCCTCAGGGCTGTGTTCTTTCTCCTCTGCTCTTCTCCCTGTACACCAACTGCTGCACCTCCACCCACCAGTCTGTCAAGCTAATCAAGTTTGCAGATGACACCACCGTTATTGGGCTCATCTCGGACGGGGACGAGTCTGCCTACAGGAGGGAGGTTGAACGTCTGGTGACCTGGTGCAGCCACAACAACCTGGTGCTGAATGCCCAGAAGACAGTGGAGATTATTGTGGACTTCAGGAAGCACACAGCCCCACTCCCCCCCATCATCCTGACTGACACCCCCATCACCTCTGTGGACTCATTCCGCTTCCTGGGTACCACCATCACCCAGGACCTGAAGTGGGAGCCCACCATCACCTCCGTCATCAAGAAAGCCCAGCAGAGGATGTACTTCCTGAGGCAGCTGAAGAAATTCAACCTGCCAACACGGACGATGATGCAATTCTACACTGCAATCATCGAGTCCATCCTCACCTCCTCCATCACCGTGTGGTACGCTGGAGCCACTATCAGGGACAAACAGAGACTGCAGCGTGTTGTGCGCTCTGCTGAGAAGGTGATTGGCTGCAGACTCCCATCTCTGCAGGACCTGTACACCTCCAGGACACTGGGGCGTGCAGCTCGGATCTCAGCTGACCCTTCTCACCCTGGACACAGTCTGTTTGACCTGCTCCCCTCAGGCAGGAGGCTCCGGTCCATTCGCACCAGAACCTCTCGCCATAAGAACAGTTTCTTCCCCTCTGCTGTTGGACACATGAACAATAACCACATGACTGTTCCCACCACTAACACATGACCCTACGCTGTGTCACTGCATCATTCCATGTTTGGCACTGATCACCACCTGCACTCATGTATATATCTTTCTACGTAGCACTTTTAATTCTTATTCTTATTTTTATTTTCATGTCTATTTAAGCGTTATATGACAGTATGTTTGCACTGAAGCACCGCAGCAATTTCCTAATGTTGTAAACCTGCTCAACATTTGGCAATGAAACCCTCTCTGATTCTGATTCTGAACAAGTTCAATATTCTAAAAGGATAAGGCATCAATTCAGAAGTCCCATAGGCTGTTTTGGCATTACATCAGAAAAGTAACAAAACAACATCCGAAACTGATAAAACTACAAAAATCAAATCACTCACTCTGTTAGGTCTGCACTTCACATGCCCCACTGGTTTAGAGACTTCTTCCCGTGAACAAAGCAAGACAGAGCTCGATCCATTTTAACTTGCAAGGGGAGCCGATAGAACCAGGGTCTTAGAGCTGCAAGCTCCTCACCTGATCCCAGACAACTCCAAGCTCTGGCCCCCTCTCACAGCTCTTTTATTAACTCATTGGACACACAAACATCTCATTAATCATGCAACAGATTAAACACTCACATGTGAACATATGTCATTTTTCTCTGCAACAGTGAACATGTGATGTGTGTGTCTATGAGCATGTGATGTGATCAGTGATATGTGTGTGTGTCTGTGTGGAAAACAGAGGTGAGCATTCATGCTAAAGATCTAATCATCTTACACAATGACAATGACAATCATATTGATCCACAATTCTCTAACATACTCTTGAAACGTTAATTTAAAATTCAGCCTTAGTGGAAAAACCAAAAACAACAATATTCAATTAAAGCTGCAAGCAGCGTTAAGAGGGTCCTCGCACCCTGGCGCGTCCAGCCACGCCCAACAACTACACCCAGCACGTCCAAACTGATGTCACTTTGATGGAATTCATGCATAGAACCACCAGCTAAAACTTAATCTCGTTCAATGAAGATTATAGCTGTTCCACTAGGTGGCGCTCTAACCATTACTGACAAATGGCATATCAAACATTTCCCAGCTTGACTCTCGACTCATGCCTTTGACGTTTGGGAAAGATTGGACATTGTGTTTTAGCACTGAGTTATAGCAATTTCGTTCTTCATGGCGAGACATCAATGTTTGCCATGCTGCTGGTGTGGCGCCTTTTCTCTAAAACTTACAGTTTTCAATGTATTGCCAAGACCAACTCCTTAAGGCTTTCCTGGAGAAATTTTAGGCTTCTTAGGTCACCCATCACTATACTGTACCCCAAAGTGTAAAACATGACATTTCCTTTTCCCAGTAGTGGGTGCTGCATCTGATGTCAAATATGGCAGTTGAAATATGTTCAGGGGTGGAGCCTTATCATATGTGTGCACTTCGGTCCAGATCGGACAATGTACAGTGGCTTGCAAAAGTATTGGGCCCCCTTGAATGTTCCCACATTTTGTCACATTACAGCCACAAACATGAATCAATTTTATTGGATTTCCACATGAAAGACCAACACAAAGTGGTGCACACGTGAGAAGTGGAACGAAGATCATACATGATTCCAAACATTTTTCACAAATAAATAACTGCAAAGTGGGGTGTGGTAATTATTCAGCCCCTGAGTCAATACTTTGTAGAACCACCTTTTGCTGCAGTTCCAGCTGCCAGTCTTTTAGGGTCTGTCTCTACCAGCTTTGCACATCTACAGACTGAAATCTTTGCCCATTCTTCTTTGCAAAACAGCTCCAGCTCAAGGAGCTTCTGACTGCGCACGGAGACTGTAAGGCACTGGAGAAGCAGTCTGAGGCTGGAGGAGGAAAGAAAAATAAAAACAAGAAGAATGCCTGGCAGACGCCTGCTACAGCGGCTAACATGGCAGCTGAGCTGGACTGCCGGGTGTGCCCCACTTTCAGACAGGTGCTGGCCCCCAAAGACTTCAACTCCCACAAGACCCTGCACATCACGGAGAGCGAGGAGTTCCCCTCTTTGCAGTCGATTAGCCGCATCATCAGCTAGCCCCCCTTTCTCAGCCTTCCTCTGGTCCGTTTGCCATTGCGAGGTGAATTCAGTTCTGTGGTTCTGACACAGCCACGCAGCAGCCGGTGTGGGAAAGCAGCAGCTCATTTCCTCTGGGAGGAGTCGGAGGCCTAGTGTAGCAAAAGAAGATGGTTCATGGTGTTTCCACTTTGATGGGGAGTAATATTGATAGGTTTATGTGATTGGTTTACAATTCAAGATGCACAGGGTCGCCACATCTTAAATCTTCTTTCAACTCGCATCGCTTGAGGACGTCCCCAGCTGGCACCGGCAACGTCTAATCAGAACTCTAAATTTATTTAATG